GCTCAGCCGAGCAGCAATTGAAAGTAATGTAGTTATGCATAAAGGGAGCCGGCATCCTAGAGAGCGGCGTCCTCTTACATAAGTGCCAAGATAGTATTTTATTCTCCCTCAAGGCAAAGCTAAAAAAGCCAGGCTGCCTGATTTCCTTGGCATCTCCTGATGTATTTACGACACTGGCCAATTCATCAGCTCCAGTGCCCTGTGGCTTATGTAACAGGCAAAGAGGGGGCAGGGTGAAGAGGGATCGCTACCAGCGCAAACATCCTGCACGCTGTGTATCAGTGCACAGCCAGTGGCGTGACTGGTCATGGCTACGCCTGGGGCAAGATTCCCGCCCTATAGGCACCCCCTGTGACTGGCAAGCCGGCCCCCATGAGCCCCGAGCAGCAGCAGCAGCAGCAGCAGGGCACCTCTCCTGGCTGGATTGGGGAAAAAGACGACTGGGCCAGAAGTGATGTGCTGCCAGCGTCCAGAGGGCGGAAATGGGCCAGCCGGTCAAGGGAGTGACAGGCCAGGGGCTAGGAGTGTGAGGGGGAGTCGAAGGAAGAAGAGAAAAGAGATTGGATTTATACCCCGCCCTTCACTCCCCGAAGGAGTCTCAGAGTGGCCTACAAACTCCTTCCCCTTCCCCTTCCCACAACAGACACCCTGTGAGGTAGGTGGGGCTGAGAGAGCCCTTTCAAGAACTGCCCTTGAGAGAATTTCGAGGGCTGCCCTTGAGAGAACAGCTCTGAGAGAACCTGTGACTGACCCAAGGTGCATGTGGAGGAGTGGGGGATCAAACCTGGTTCCTAACCACTACACCAAGCTGGCTCTCGAGGGCCTTGGCAGTAGCTGGGGACAATGTCAGAACCAGGAGGGAAGCAGGATAGGCGGCAGAGGCCGTGGGAGGGCCAGAAGCAGATCCGGAGGCATGGGGGTTGCTAGAGAGGGGAGGCAGCCGGGCGATGGGGGAGCTCCAGGGACTGCCTGCTAGCCCTGCTGTTAAGAGCCGGGGAGAGGGGGGGAGCTTGACAAAGCCCTGAGGCGGTAGAACCCCCTGAGAGGGGAAAGGGAGCCCCTGGGTCCGAGGGGGAACACTGGGAGTCAGAGGGAACCTCGTACGATAATAGTAAGTGGCTACATATCATGGGAAGGGCTCCTGCCCTGTGTCATGTAAAAAGGCATTTAATACAAATAAGTGGCCAAGGAGGAGCCTGGGAGGGTCGCCCAGTGTGTAACGACCCGGGATGCTAGACTGAGGACACCCCTATGGGCGACACACCCGTTTACAATGACACAAACACTGTTCTTCACCCCAACCTCCGTCTCCACCAACATGAAGTTCCCTAATCCCTTTCCCACTCCTCCAGCTGGAAAATCTACCCGTCCCACAGGCGGGTATTCTCAGGTGAGTGGTGGAGCCCCTCCTGTTGGGTTGCAAACCCCTACGGAGCTGCCATTTTTTGGGCTGTGTTTTTGGGAGGAACTCTTGCACAGACAGCAAGGGCGCCGTTCCTCCTTGCCTCTCTTTACAGGCACGCTGAGAAGAGCAGCAGACCAGCAAGGCAACGCCACTTGGTGGGGGAGAGGATTCTCCTCCTCGTGTGTCTCCTGCCCCCCACTGGCTGGGTCTGCTGTCCGTGGTCCCAGCCTGAACACCCGTGAGGTCATAACTCTGGCTTCTGCTCTTCCCGTCACATGACTCTGATGTCCTTTGACTTCAGGCAACCTGGCTTCCAGGTCTGCAAGGGGTGGAAGACCACTGCTGTGCCATGTGGGAGGCCTATTTGTGGAATGTGCCCCCACATACAAGTCTCCCTGCATGGAGTACCTGGGAGTGGGCTATGCTTGACTTTTCTTCCTGGTGTGCAGGGGCGCTGTTTTAAAAAACAAATGTCCCAGAGCACTACAATCTACGATGCTACAGCTGCAGTCCAAAGTTTTCTTGACTAGCATGCTGCCTTGTTCTCTGCAATGCGTGGATCTACTGGAATGCTTACGTTTCAGACAAGTTATCAAGGTCCAAACTAGATGAAATATTGGGAGATCCAAGAAGGCAGAGAACGAAACAAAGAGAGCAAAAAAAGTAAGAGAAATTTTATGGTTCCACACATCAGTTTGGGGGATAGGGCAAAGGATTCTGATGTGGAACCTCAAATACAGCACTGAAGGAAAGGAGGTGGAGAGCTATTTAGCTACTGAAATATTTTAGCCCAATTTCCTTACATCTGCCAACATTTCACATTTGCGCTGCCTTCTCAGGTGAACCAATCCGTTCTCAGCTGAGATTCACTGTGAAAGGTCCACTCCACTGGTGAGCAATCAGAAAGGCCAATCATTTGCCATTCTAATCACACAACGATGGCTGGTCTTCCACATGGCTCTGAAAGCACTCGACAGTTATTTTTACAATAATTCTTTGATTACAAAAATTACAGCACATGGACAGTTACAGCACATGGACAGTTGGCTGCCCCAATTCGAACTTGACATGGATTATGCCATTGTCAGTGTTTGGCCAGTTTGGTGTAGTGGTTAAGTGTGCGGACTCTAATCTGGGAGAACCGGGTTTGATTCCCCACTCCTCCACTTGCACCTGCTGATGTGACCTTGGGTCAGTTACAAGCTCTGGCACAGCTGTCCTTGAAAAAGAGCAGTTTGTGTCAGAGTTCTCTCAGCCCCACCCACCTCACAGGGTGTCTGTTGTGGGGAGGGGGAGGGAAAGGAGTTTGTAAGCCGCTCTGAGACTCCAAGTGAAGGGCGGGGTATAAATCCAATCTCTTCTCTTCTTCTCTTCTTCTTCTCTTCATTGTGGGAACTGGAGAAAGGCCCCTGACAAAGTGCAAGGGTTCTGAGTCCACTCTGCTCCCCAACTGGACATGCCAGGACACACAGCCAACACCTCTACATGACACTTACAAGGCTGTTGAGTCCACTGGTAGCCCTTGCAGGGTTCAAGAAGGCAGCAAAGAACCAGGCCACAAAGAGAAGGGATGGTGCCAGGCTGATTAGGGGGTGGAGACTAGTGGGAAAGGAGCGGAATAGACTGGCACTGATGGATGCCAGGTGGCCAATCAAGAAAAGAGTCTGGCCACGTCCAGGGCTTCAGGGGTGGGGCCTGAGAGAAAGGGGATGGAATTCATGGTGAAAGCTCTCTACACAAGCAACAAATGGTTGTTCCCGTCCCCCTCCCCATTCTGAACTCTCATCCTAACAATTTCTTCATCCCCCTGAATGCACCTGCTGAAACTTCATACCGAACTCTGACACTGTAAATATCAGTGTCAGCTGATTTTTATTTTTTTGGCAACTGTGCTGCAAATGAAATTCAAAGTCGGAGATAGTGGCACCACCTGGATGCACACGATTGTTTGTGTGTATATGTGCAACATGGAATTCCAGCCTATGCCATGGTTGCTGAGCAGCAAGCAGCCAACAAGCAGACACTTGATGGAAGAGGGGCAGGCAGGAGAGGCAGCCCGATTCCATGCCATGGGCATCATGGGCTCAGGTATACCTGGCTACCAGGTACGGTATCCGGGCTGCAAATCCTTGGCCTCTACTATTTCAGGTCCTGTTTTCTAAAAATAACATTCAGCTACCCATTCAACACGTTCCCTCATTACAGGAAACCCACATGGATGTTTTCCTTATTTCACTTTCCTGGCTGGCTGTGATGCACGTGTGTTTGTGTGTGTGGGGGGGGCAGGCATATGATTCCCTCAAAATGAGGGAAATGGATGGTTTCGGGGCACGGACAGTGAGAAACAGCTTTGTCTGGGAACCACATTTTCAGTGTTTTGGCCAAAACATGCTGGCTTTCATATCTCTCCTTATATATAATTGAATAGTGGGTGCCAAAGTTCTAATTCTAAAATGCACTCCCTTAGTGTATGGCTGATGGCACTGCTCCTCAGCATATATCGCCACCAATCAGAAGGCAAAGCCCGGGTCCCGCCCACACCACAACTGCTGCGACAACCTGGTCTTTTGCATATGGAAGCTGATTGGACTTCAGTCCATTCCACACCTCAAACTCCCCCCCCCCCCCCGGCAAGGCAGTTGGAATTTTCAGTTGCATAACATACCTCATAGGGGAGAGGAGAATGGGTAACAATGGTTACCACGCTCCAGGTGAGGGCTACAGATAACTCAAACATACAAATGCTCTTCAGGTAGCAGAGATCAGTCCCTCTGGAGAAAACAGTGGACTCTGTCATTAAACCCTGCTGAGGTCGCCACAGGAAACTGACACTGTTTGCCCAAAGCCAGAGCACTCTCCCAGAGCCTCTTTCTAGATCCCGTTGTATTTATTTCAGCAACGGGCATTATTTCTAGTTCTTTTTAAGACAATAAAAGTAGCAGTCCAGAGCAGAGTTTACACCTTTCTAAATCAACTGAAATCAATGGGCTTAGAAGGGTATGACTCTGCTTAGTGCTCCACTGCAAGAGCTGGAAAGCTATATATTAGCTTACATTCAAGGCACTGAGCATTCCAGGGCCTGAAACAGAAGCTGTTTGGGCTCATCTGATAAGCTCTGCCCTGGCCCCTTTCTGGAGCAAAAAGCTAAGTGAGTGACCTGAACCTCTTTTGGATCTTGACCTGTACACACCTACACACCACTGCAGTGTGGGTCGTAATGCAAGGGAGCTGTTCTCATGCGCACATGTTTGCACTGAGATTGATCGCCCCATGTCATAAGCATATGGAGCTGAAGTCCATCAGTGGCTATTAGCCACAAGGTATAGATAGGAACTCTCGGTCTGAGGCAAGGGACGCTCTGTATTCTTGGGCAACAGAGAGAAGGCTTCTAGTGTCCTGGCCCCACTGCTGGACCTCCTGATGGCACCTGGTATTTTTGGCCACTGGGTGACAGTGTTGGGCTGGATGGGCCATTGGCCTGATCCAACATTGGCTTCTCTCTTATGTTCTTATGTTCATGCCACAAAAACAATGAAGAAAGGCAGGATTGGACAGGTCCATTTTACACCTTGTCCCCCCCACCCAAAACACTTACGTGCTCCAGGAAGCACGGCCCAATTTCACTGAGATGCGGGTCCTCGTTATTGTACTGCTTCTCCAAGTCCCTTACAAAGCCCATCTGAAACCTGTAGATGTCCTCGATGTTGCCGAAGATGATCTTCAGCTGTTCATCACTGAACATGTCTCTTCTCTTCCGACACTGCTTCAAATAACCCTAGAGGAGAGAGAGAGAAGAGAAGGTTACGGTGAAAATATGACACACACACAGTTCAGTGGACACTTACAAAAGGGCAGAAATGCATGGACTTTGGGGTTTGTTTTGAGAAAGACATGGTCACATGATGGTGCTTTTCCTTCTCTGTCTGCCGCTGGTTTTATCCACCTTGTGTTGTCCTACCAAACTCAGCCCTTCACTTCCTGGCCTGCGGCGTCTGGGTTTTGTCCTTGCTCAGTGCACACCTCTTGCGAGCTGAAAGCCAGTCAGAGCGGGGCAAGCTCCCCCCACCTATTCCAAGGACTACCTTGTTGCCCCCTGTGAGGACGTGACAACTTCCTCCATGACCGGCGGGGCTGAGGAGACGGATGGCTAACTGAGAAGGCTGGAAGTGGCTGCGGGGACTGCTGGGGAGGAATCACGGCTTCAAGAACCCAAAAGTTAAGGAAATCAGACTATAAGGGTCCCATAGTTCTGTGTCTAAAACTGAAACATAAATATTATCGAATATACATAAATATGCATGGATTTATTACAAATTCAGGAACAACAAATAGATGCCCAAGTGCCGCGGGCCGTGGCTAGGAAAGCTCTCTCATGGCTGCCACCGGTGTGCCCTCTAAGCTGAGTTAGTGTGAGCTAGCCCACAGATTTTTAGCCTCCAGCTCACACATTTTTGCCTTAGCTCAGGAAGGATGGGGCTCCAGAGCAAACTAACTAATGCAGTAGCCAGATTGCTCGCTCACAACTTTAATGCCAGTAGCTCACAAAATAGAATTTTTGCTCACAAGACTCCACAGCTTAGAGGGAACATTGGCTGCCACCACTCTGGTCTGGGTCTCCCTGTCTGGGTCTCCTTGGCAGGGCCCAGGGAACCCACACAACCCCTTTATAGACTTTCTTTTCTAGCAGGTTTCCCCTTATAAGTGACCAAATGAGGTGGGAAGACCCAGGCAGAGTAACAAACTGTTTCTGTTAAAGAGATTTAATAACAACTATAATCCATTAACATATAGGGAAAATGAGCACAGTCAACCACGGTAGGTAAACCAGCAAAATAAGAAACCCTAAAGCATCTGCCTATACCGTCCCTAGCCTTCTCTAGGTCTTTGGCCTCAAGCTGACTCACCCCCTATGGATGAGGGATCCCTCCATCTGCAGCAGCTTCACACTGGCTCTGCTCCTTAGGCGTGAGCCTCCTCCCCCTTTGGGCAAGGCCTTTTATCTCTTCCTCTGAGGCACCACCCTCTACTATTCTACTGGTGTAAGTTTTCCCACCACATCCCCTGTTAGCCAATCACAGGGTCCAAAGGTTGACCTGGGGAATGCAGGCCCTGATAGCTACTCTAGTACAGGCTTCCCTGGAGCCACTAGTCCTCCCCAGATGCTGCAGGCCCGCACTGCTATAGGCCTAGCATCATGACACCAAGTAATAGTAGGGTTGCCAGCCTCCAGGTGGGGCCTGGAGAGCTCCCGCTTTTACCACTGATCTCCAGCTGACAGAGATCAGCTGCCCTGGAGAAAGTGGCTGCTTTGGAGGGTGAACTCTATAGCATTTGACTCTGCTGAGGTGCCTCCCTTTCCCAAACCCCGCCCTTTCCCAGATCCACTCCCAAAGTCTCCAGGTATTTTCCAACCCAGAGCTGGCAACCCGAAGTAATAGCTTCAACTCACACATTAATCCAAATCACACATTAATCCAAAAGATAGACCACCACTGAGGAAGGCCAACTGGGTGAAATACATTTGGTCAGGGTCAATAATGGTCTATCTTCTCTGAGGGAAAAGGTAATCCCACAGGAACCAAAGGACAGTGGCTTTATCAGGAGAGACAGCTGTTTTGGCACTTTATTCTGTCAGGGAACAGTGGCCAGGCTGGCAGTGGGCGGGAGAGAGGAGCGGACCCAGCACCCAGCCAATGGCACACGAGTACTCTTGAGTGGCGGTTGATGGGCCAATGGCTGATGGAGCGCACAGCACAGCCAATTGGAGAGCTGGAAAGTGCCAATATGTTAGGGCTTTTTTGTATATCAGATAAGCCATTCTCCCTTCCTTAAACTTAGTGGCAAGCTTCATCTTGGAGTGCTCTTTCCCCTGACTGAAAGGGCTACCTGCTGTGGGATTTAGGCTGCAGTCCATCATTTTTGAGGTCTTTTAGCCACAGTAAATGCCTGTTGGGGAGGCTCACATTCCATATCACAGTGAGGATGCTTTTGCTAGTTTCTGATGCCTCACTTTCCCCTACTGCTCTCTGCTAAGCTAAGCAGTTTCCGCAGGTTTTCCCCACTCCTTCTGAAACTGGCTCCACATCCATTTTGGTTAGGATCCTAGCAGACATCTGTGTTGATGGGGCCCACAATGATATGGGGAGGAGAAGCATAAGTGCAGAACAGCACGGAACTAAAACAGGCGCTTAAAGTTATTCACTTGTGATAAATACAAATGGCATTGAAGCCGCAAAGGGGATCCACGCTGCCAGCTGTGTGCTGCTCATGGATGCCCCGTGGTGCAAACAAACAGCAGTGGTTTATTATGGCACTTCTGGGCAGGGACAGCAGGGCCTACGGGACTAGCTATGGCAGGGGTCCCCAGCCTTTCAGGGATCTTGAGATAGTGACAGCTACCCCAAAATGGCTGCCAGATGAGGTGGAACTTCTCAGAATACCTCCCTCCTCCCTCCTTCTGGGAAGAAAGGATGTCAGAAAGGGGGATGGAACCACACACTGACTAAGGAAAGATCAGTCCTTGGTTGGAAACCCATACATACATACTAACCTCAGACATTGAATTAAATATGGTTTAGGGTCTCTCAAGATGACATCAATGAGCACGGATCTTTGGTATGGCTTATAGAAGATGATTCACCGTCAATACATGGGCTATCTGCTCTTTACAGCTTTAAAGATCAGTATCAGCACATTGAATTGTGCCCAGAAACTTACTTGTTTGGCTTCTGTGTAATATACCTTTTGGTAGAACCACCTAGTCAAATGCCAGGCAGTCACAACATGTTCCATAATAATAGTGGGCCTTTCTGAACAGCCTTCAAAGGAAGCCTATAAAGAGCACATTGCAATAATCAAGACACAAGATTCCTAAGACATTATGATAGAACAAATGTGCAGGGTGCAAAATAGACATTTGGTGGCTTCTTACATGAATCAGAGAAGTGTGCATGTATCAGTCACTGAGGCAACTTCTCTGCCTTTGTATTTCTACAAAAAAATACCTTTCCAAGCATATTCCGTGTCCAGCAGAAATCCCTAACCTTTTTGAGCCTGTAGGCACCTTTGAAATTCTGACATAGGGCAGTGGGCAGAACTATACAGAGGTCAGAGGCAAGCACAAAATTTCAGGGAATGAGATCATGCATAACTCTAATAGTAATGCTTCAACATTTCAGGCAGCATCTCTGTTTAACAGGACACCTCTTAAAATTAACATACTGTTGTTTTCTTGCATATACACAGCTTACCTTCAGTCACATTGTGAAAATCTTTGTGCTGTGGTGGAAGCTGCTGCTGAAGCAACTTTTGAAAAATCTGCACAGACAATAGGGCTGCCAAGTCCCCCCGGGGGGAGGCAGGGAAACCCCCACCCGGGAGGCCCGTTACCCGGCGGCACCGGATCGGGCCCCAGGGGGAACCCCACCCCCAAAGCACGTCACACGGAAGTGACGCAAGCACGTTGGGGGCAGGGCCGCAATCATCCGAGGGAAAACTCTATGTTTTTCCCTCGGATGATTGTGGCCCCGCCCCCAGCATGCCCGACGTGGTTGTGTCACTTCCGGGCGACGTAATTGTGGCATGCACGCACATGGACTCCTGGACCAGCACAGGACTCCCCCGCTCTTCATGAGATGAGGACTTGGCAACCCTACTGCACAGTCTTCTTTAGTGGTCTCCCTTCCAAGTATTGACCCTGCTTAGCTTCTAAGAGCTGACAAGATTGGGCTATATACCATGCCACCTTCCCTCCCCACATACAGACATGAAGCTGCCTTATACTGAATGAACACTGGTCCACCACAGTCAGTACTGATTGCTCAGACTCACACTAGCTCTTCAGGGTCTCAGGCAGAGGTCTTTGAACCCGGGACCTTCTGCGTGGAAAACAGAGGTTCTATCACTGATCCACAACCCCTCCCTTATGCCCGACGTGGTTGTGTCACTTCCGGGCGACGTAATTGTGGCGTGCGCACACATGGACTCCTGGACCAGCACAGGACTCCCCCGCTCTTCATGAGGTGAGGACTTGGCAACCCTACTGCACAGTCTTCTTTAGTGGTCTCCCTTCCAAGTATTGACCCTGCTTAGCTTCTAAGAGCTGACAAGATTGGGCTATATACCATGCCACCTTCCCTCCCCACATACAGACATGAAGCTGCCTTATACTGAATGAACACTGGTCCACCACAGTCAGTACTGATTGCTCAGACTCACACTAGCTCTTCAGGGTCTCAGGCAGAGGTCTTTGAACCCGGGACCTTCTGCGTGGAAAACAGAGGTTCTATCACTGATCCACAACCCCTCCCTTTTCACTGGAATGAGGGTACCCAACAACAAGCACTGCTAGGGTTGCCAGTCTCCAGGTAGTGGCTGGAGATCTCCCACTATTACAACTGGTCTCCAGGTTACAGAGATCAGTTTCCCTAGAGAAAATTGCTGTTTTGGAAGGCGGAGTCAAGGAGAACCATGTAAGCTGCTTTGGGTTCATTTGGGGGGGGGAGGCAAGGTATAGATGAAGTAAACAAATAAATTCCCAAGGGTCAAGTCTTTACATCTTGGCTCATTTTCAAGCTACCTTGGCTCATTTTAGTAGAAAAGAGCAAGACTCCAGGAGCACCTTAATGGGTGCATTCAGACGGGGCATTTACAATGGTATAGGTGCCGGTTGGAATCGGTGTACTTACCGGCATTCACACGGCGAACATCTGCCTTCTGTCCCCAACCGTTGCAAAGAGCTTTAAACCATTGTATTCTGCCACTAGGTCCCCAAGT